CAAATACTAAAAGAACAAGTAATTCGTCATTTTTTAGAGAAACGCTAACCAATAAGGTGCTTAATAATTTTATAGTTCTAATCTTACTTCTAATTTTCTGCCGAGTCGAATCTCTTTAGAAGAAAAATTGTAACAACGCATCTTTTCCAAAGATGAGCCTTTCCTTTGCTTATGCTGAAAGTAAATGGATAAACAGGCAGAAAAATCTATAAAAATAATGAAGTTACTCTAAATACTCCGTATTTGCACTTTGTGCAATATCAAACCGATTATTGAACTTTTGCAGACAAACAGGATTTATCCATCCTACTGATAAAACGGTAGCGTTCCCGTTGGAAACCGGGCAGTTTGTATACACGGAACCCTTTACGTGGATGTTTCTCGCTCGTGAGTTTTGCAGCATCGCGTCGTACTTCGAAAATCAGCAGGCTGCGAGTAAACAAGTCTCTTTTCATCAACTTCGACGGATGAAGCGGCCGTATTTACCGGAAACTCATATAGTCGTCGACTACGAGAGCGCAAACATCGAAGGTGCACGCTTGTACAGCGAACTTTAATAATTTTGTCTTCGAGCCTAGAAGTAGAAAAGGTGCGACGGCGACGCTGCGTCGCGACGTCTCGTGTTTGCTCTTAATACATAGATTCCTTCCCTTTTCTTCTCTCGCTTGGCGCGGCAATTTAATAAATCAACGTGCCTGTCTTCGATAGACCGGCAACACACACGTACACGCGTACACACATTCGGGGTTTGCCGAGTTTGATAAACGGCGGCTTCTCTCACGGCCGAATAATTTGCCGATCTCGATACGCAAGGCTCATCCGAATTCGGCTGCGATGCGGAATTTCAGGCTTCGCGACTGCGATTACGTTCGATAAATTCTTCATCGATTTCGTGGAGATCACGGGCGAAGCGGACGAGTGGCCCGTCGAATAAAGCGAGTGGAAGTTTTGTTATCAGCAAAATCGCTCGTGCCCGTAGATAGCATCGCTCTAAATCATTGTAGCCGGGCCAGTCCGCGCTTTCTCTTTTATGTGGATTTTCTGCAACGTGGACTGCAACCACAATGCGATCAATCAAAACCGTCAGAAAATCGTGACTCACGCTCAACCGAGAATTGGCGTTCCATCAGAGCAGTGCGTTCACAATGGTATCAAAAGATTAGATTGAAATGGTAATATGACGCATGTTACGGCTACCGAAAAAAAAAAAAAGGTTTCGTGTGTAAATAAAAAAAACTTCTGTAAAATAAATATTTTCATTATAAAATGGTGTGTGCGTTCTATATCAATTTTTCATCCCGGCCGCTAATCGCCGTTGCCGACTACGAATTTCCAACTGTTATTCAATTACGGCGCTATATACAGCAGTTAGCCCAACGCTATGCACGCTCATTGTGAACGCAAGGTGTGAGCCGCAACCTGGGATCCCACAGCATAGGGATGCGTTTGTAATTCCATTTACCACATAAGTGGATGGCGCAACGTGCAGATGGCATGCTTAATAAAGTGTACTTAACCGAGTCGAGGCTGAACTCCGCCTCGACCTGGCCTCGCGATTGCATTCGCGTTTCCTCCCCTCCCCCCACCTCTCCCCCTTCCCCCCGTATCTCTCTCGTCCTTCTCGAGCGGTATTAGAACCTCCGAATGTCTTGGAAGGTGGAGTGCATTTCACCACGACAACTGTTCATAATTGCATTGCCAATTATGATAGATGTATGCGCGCACGTTAGACGATTCTCGTTCAAACGTAGTTACGTTACAATCGAAATGAAATAGATATTCGTTCATTTTTCCTCGCTAGAGTTATTCGACATCAAATATGTCATAATTTTATGATTGATACGGTCGTTAAAAGTATTTAAAATTTTTAATTATCGATATAAATTAATAATAAATTTAT